AAGATAAGTTTTGCGATGCACGCATGTCAAGAGAGTATTTTGTAGAGCGGATTTCGTAGCAGTCAATTTCAGTTTTGGGAGGAGAAAGTTAGAAGTAAATAAAGCTGCTCGTGCATTGTGCATGCAGAGATAAGTTTTGCGATGCACGCATGTCAAGAGAGTATTTTGTAGAGTGGATTTCATAGCAGTCAATTTCAGTGTTGGGAGGAGAAAGTTAGAAGTAAATAAAGCTGCTCGTGCATTGTGCATGCATCATGCTGGGTAAAGCCTGAAATGAAGAACCTCCAGAGTAGAAAGCACATGTGTTTCTGCTTAATTTACCTTTTTCCCCAGAAAGCCACCAGGCATTATGACAGCTAACATCTTATCACTATTTGACCTTAGGTAATATGTATTTGAAGCACTGTTCTTTAATAGTATATTCAAATAAGTCTAGATAACCTGTTTTTAACTTTAAATGATTTACTGTATAAATTTGAGGTTTTGAAATGTTTTTCTTGCTCTTCTCTACTTATTTTCCTCTACAAAATTCCTGGACTTGTTTTGTTTATGTAATCTGTTAGCTTCCTGGATTAGGAAAGCTCTTCAAATGGTATCTGAACATAGAGCAGAGCTGCAGGGAGCCCCAGAGGACCCCATATAAGTGATGGTAGTGAGTATTTGCTCACTCAGACACACACACCAAGTTCAGAGCATCTTTTCACAGGCTGGCCAAGCCTTCACTGTCATAAAGCTGGTGTAGCAAGCCCACTTCTGTTTCTTTCATTGCATATCTGTGAGTTCAGTTCTATAAGCAGTGGAACTCATTATTTCCCAACAGAATTTAATGGAAAACTTTCTCATATTCTAAAGATGTGTCTGTTTACAGAAACATAAAACCACCACCTCATTGCCACAAGTAAGAATGCTGAGTCTCCAGATTATCATTTTCAAGTCGTTTTCATAGTAACTAACTACACTACTATAAAACTGAATTTATTTTTGAAGTCAGAGCATATAACATATCAACCTGTTGAAGTGTTTTCATTTGCTGTCTGCTATAGTTAATTATATAAAAAACATTTGATTCAAACATTGAATTGAAAATCCACATGCATGCATTTTAATTATGTTAACAATTCTGTACAAATAGCTTATTTAAATGCTAGGCCAAATGCAGTTGCAAAATATTAGATAGTGAAGAAAATAAAGCTTTATTCTGGCATAATATTGTGAGGTTTAAATTATAAGGTAACATACAGAATAACATGAAATCTAAACATTTCTCTTTAAAAATTTTGCCAATGACTTTTTGACTTGCTTATTTCTCAGACTGTAGATAATTGGATTTAGCACAGGGATGATTACCGTATAAAACAGAGAATCCATCATATCTTGACTATCCACTTGTGGAGATGCAGGGCGTACATACATGAAGAGCAGAGAGCCATAGTACAAAGACACAGACAAGAGATGGGCTCCACAGGTGGAGAAGGCCTTCTTTATGCCTTTGATAGATTTCTGCTTTAAGATTGAACAGAGAACAAGTGTGTAAGAAACTAGAATCGTTGAAATACTAAATACTTGAATTGAACCAGAGAGAATAAAAAGCATGAGATAATTTAGAGAAGGGTCAGTACAAGATATCTTTAACAGTGGCATAACATCACAATAAAAGTGTTGTATTATGTTGGAATTACAGAAGGTTAATCTGAATAAGAAGCTTTCATGAATTAAAACATGGATAAATCCACCTACAAATGACAAGACTAACAGACGTACACAGAGCCTGTTTGTCATAACCACTGGGTAGAGTAAAGGTTTGCATATGGCTACATAGCGGTCATAGGCCATCGCTGCCAAGAGAAAACACTCTGCAGTTGCACTGATTCCAAATGAAAAGAACTGTAGCATGCACTCAGTCAAAGAAATCAGTTTGCTTCTAGCAAAAAAGGTTACTAGTATCTTTGGTGTCACTGTGGATGACAACCAAGTATCCACAAGAGCTAAACTTCCAAGGAATAAATACATGGGGATGTGAAGGTGAGGGTCATTCCAGATGAGAGTGATCAGACCAAGGTTCCCCACAATGGTGATGAGATAAATCACCAAGAACATCAGGAACAGGGGGACTTTCCACTGTGGTTGGTGTGTGAGTCCTGTGAGAATAAACTCTGTCCATAAGGTTGTATTGTCCCTTTCCATATTCTCACTGGATGTTCCCTGGAATGAAAAACATTGATTGTCAGATGGTATTCACTAAGGTGTTGTGAAGTAAAATTCTGGGTAACAAGAACTGAAATAAAACCATGTCCTTATCAGCATGACCTTTTAATTTTATTCAATATGACTATAATACTTGGAAAAGTTTTATCAAGAATGAGCTTAAGTTCTTTATATTATTTTAGTATTTGAATGTACTAACAGATTGAAAGAAAACAAAAGGTCTTCTAAACATGTGGGAATTGTGTGGAGATCTGGTTTGATAGTAAAATTCTGTATCTAAATCATAGATTTAGTGTCAAAAGTAAAGAAGTTTTAAATGCCTGAATTATAATATGAATTGAACTGACTAGTCTTAGTCAACTGGATAACATTTACTGACTTGCAGTAAAAATTCAATAGGTGGTAGCTGGGGAAAATATTTAAAATTAATTATAAAGTAATTATACAATAGTGGAGGAAATAGTTTTCTGGGAGTCAAAACTGGAGTCACCAATGTTAGAAAATTCTTATCTTATCTGAGAATCATAAAGCAGATTATGTATCAGAATTATCTGTGATCATTTGTGACAAATGTAGAGTATGAAATATACCTATGGGAATTGACCCAGTAGAATAATAAAGGTCTAATTAACTTTAGCTACCCTGGTTATGTTAAATGCAAGTGAACTTATTAAAGTAAGTATGATAGAACTTTGAGAGTAATTCGGAGAACAAAGTGATAAATCTCAAAGAATTAATAATATAGACACTATTATGCAGGGACATAAGGCATGTGAACAAATATTCATTGAAAAAGAAAAAAATATGATTTAGCTATTTATAGGGCCTTTTTCAGTTGAGCTTGAGAACTTAGGCACACTAATCTACTGATCTTCATCTACCTGCAGGAGCCATGTATTTAATAGTGTTGGTCTACTAAGACTTAGCAATGATGATGATGTTGTGGATTGTCTTGCTCCCTTCCTTTCCTGCTGATTTTTTTTCTAGCTAATTTCTTTAGTTTCCACCAGGATTTGCATGTTAAAAGGAGTCTTTTTTCAACAGAATTATTACCTGTCTCAACTGGAAGACCATCTGGCTCCAAAGAGATTTAAAGGCAAGATAAAAAGATACTGAGCAGAATCAAAGTGGAGAGTCAAAGATCATGATCCTTAAGATACAATAGGCAATAGGAATGAAAAGCTTAAATACTGTTGACTATAGATCTTGAGTGTTGAAAATGGTGAATTTTTCAGTGGTTTTGATGAAAGTTTCCTGTATATGATAAATCTGATGTCAGAAAATAATGGAAAATCATGGGGGATATGGCAACACACATTAACCTAGAAATAATCAGAAAAAATTATCTGCAAATCTAAATCAGTTGTTTTTGTGCTGTCTAGTTCTGTTTTATTTTAGCAAAACATAAAATGAAGCAGATCGACTCCCGTAAAGGGATAATATATACAATCCCAGGCTTTCTAGATTTTAGGTACATTATAGAGGGACTATCTTCCTTTCCTGCAATCTCAAATATATCAAAAAATATATATTCTCAGAGAAAGTGAAGTACTTGACTCTAAGTGGGACATCTGTGTCACATTCTTTCCCCTCAAGGCTCAGGGATCACCTCTGAAGTGGCAGAAAGATTCCAAGAGACAGAAAGAATATAGTACTGCTGTGCAAGTGTTTTCTGGTCATGACAGGGACTTTGTACACATGAACTCACAAGGACTGTGGCTCATCTACAAGACCTACACAAGCTCAAGCCAGCCAAAATGCCAGTATTGATGGGGAAGGAATCACAGTGAACTACCCCTAGATGAGGAACCGTTGTCAAGTGGCTTTGAGGTCGGGAAAGCACATCATTTTCAGGTGCAGCCCAGATAGGCTGTCGATACTCCAGTTAATAAAGCTACACCCATGCATATACTAGAGGCACTAAGTGTACTCAGTAGGTTTAAAAAAGAATATATGAATTTGGGATAGAAAAGTGGTAGGGAGAGTTATGGGAGGAGTTTGAGGAAAAGGAATGAGGAGTGGTTCTCATCAATACACATTATAATCACATACAAAATTATCAAATAATACATTTAAAATATTTTAATTTAAAAATTGCAGATTCTCAAATTGTCTGGAATACATAGATGCAATTAAATCATAAACACTAGAAACATATCAGAAAAATAATATTTGCATATTTACTATATGAATCTATTTGCATAGATGTAATCACACATATATGATAAATATAACAAGGTGAACTGCCCTATGAAATGTTCAATACATATAATTTTCATATGTATATGTTTACATATAACATTATATGAACATATACATACATATTGGCTAAAGAAATACTTGTCAGATATGGAAGATTATTCAGAGAAGCAAATACTTAAGTAAATTAACTTAAAAGCTTTAGTCAGTTAAGGAGATTAAACAGGATTATTTTTTTACTGAAATCATCAGAATAGTTGCTTATATGGAAAGAATTATGGCTCCAATTTTCAATCTCAATTTTAATTTCTAGCTCATGGAAACTTAAAAGTAATTATAGCTAGGTTTTATCCTAAACCTGAAAAGCTAATTATTAAAGGAATCAATTCATCTATTTTGCTTATCCATATTTATCCATGAAAAATACAGATCATTTTTGTTGTTACTGTCTGCACTTATACTCAGTTCTTTAGAAATCCAAAGCCAAATATAAACTTATGAAAGAAAATGAATTCCCAACTATCTATGGAAAGCAAGATGCATATCATTGAACTCATTTCTCTCTTACTTATATCTTGAAAGAAGTTGCAGAGATCCTCAACACTATTGGTTTTTCTGAAACAGAAAAGAACACAACAGTACAAGAATGCTGTAACAAAGGCAGTGATTCTTTTCATGGTGATCAGGAGCATTCACTGCCCAAGCACAGGAAATATTGTGCATATGAATTTACTTTCAACACGAGGATAAACAATTTGCATCGTAGATGCTTTTCCTAGACGAGGAAAGATTGGAGAACTGAAATTCCCATTAGAACTAAGGGTTCTCTGGAGGATGAGGTGAGGCTGCTCTGCTTGGCACTGTGATTTGGACACATAAGAGAAGCCCAAATTGGTCCCATGGAGCATCACAGGGTTTAAAGTCACAAATATCCAGTACTGTACTATTTACAATTGAAAGCACATATTATACTGTTCCCCATCACATATGGCACTTCTGATAGTTTTAGAGAAACTTAGATAAAATTTCTTACTCTGAGGGCCTTTTGGATGGTGGTATCTGAGCTAATCAAAACCTGACATTGATGTAGCATATGAGAAACTTGCTTCTTTTGAAATAGTTTCATTGACACAAAAATGTCAAATGATGTACTTTGATCACACGAAGTCCCTAACTCTCATCTTCACCTCTGCCTTTCCTTGACCTCATGTCTGCTGTTATTATCTTTTCTTAAAGCCTATGGAATCTAATCTGTGTTCCCCACATGCTCCTGTGTGTGAGTCTATCCCTTGGAGTCTGATGAACCTATCGGACATCACACCAGTAAAGTAAACTGACTCTACTTCTTCCAGCCAATAGACCCTCAACTATGGCTTCTTGCCATCCTCCCACATTCATGCTAGGGTTGTGACTTCCTTGGACTTGTACAAGTCTTGTGCATATATTCAAAAGCACTATGCAAAACTTACCGTGTGTTAAGACAAAACTGTTTCATTGTATTGATCTACCACCTCTCGCTCTTACAGTCTTCCTCCTTTTTCTACACAGATCCCTGAACCTTGGAAAGAAAGGGTATGACACAGGTGTCCTAATTAGAACTGAGCACTCTGCAGTCTCCTGTTCTTGCATGTTTTCCAGTTTTAGGGCTCTGTGTTAATTGCCATCTGGAGCAAGAAGCTTCATGGTAAGACCTGAAAGATGAACTAATCTATAGGTATAATTGTAAGTTGTTAGGAGTTAGTTTAATACTATGTCTATTTAGCAAAATAATAGTACTAGGTTCTTCCCTATGACCTGTAACCTATCTAGCCACAGGGTCTTGGCCCTGATAACAGTGACAGGCATGGACTCCATCTTGTGAAGCAGGCCTTAAAAGCAGGAGGTGGTTTGTTGCAGCTCTAATACCGGTGGGCATATTTTGCGAGGCCAGTCACTATTGTAGTTAGCAGGGTTCAAAGCTGGGTAAGATAGATGATTACCATTTTATGCCAGTAACATACATAGCATTATCTAGTGCTGTGAAAGCTAGTTGGTATAGATGAAGCTTCGTGGTCAGTACCAGCTTGATTTTTCCTTGTTTGCTCTAGTGTCTTCATAACAGAGTATTAACTATAAAGTTCTGAACAACAAAGTGCTGTGTCAATAAGAAGTACTGTTTGAGGGTTTATGGTACTTCTTTGGTCAACAACTCCAAAAGGGGGAGTTGATTCCTGGCATTGGATTTTTATTTGCTAGCCTACTATGGTGTCTATTAGGGCTACTGATCCCATATTATAGAGTAATTCATTTAAACTCTTTCTATATTGTATAAGCTGTTTATTCAGTAGCTTTCCATATGACTTTTTCAAAAGGCCTTTAGTGCCAGCTATCCTTGCCTTTACTCCCTTTCGCCACAGCATATAATAGTTTAAAGAATAAATATACAGAACAAAGAAAAGATATTCAAAGATGGGAGGATATCAAGTCACATATGAAGGCAGGTCCATCAGAATAATGACTGATTTATCTTTTTTGTTTGTTTGTTTGTTTTGGTGTTTTAGAGACAGTGTCTCCCTATAGCCCCAGCTGGCCTGGAACTCATAGACCAAGCTGGCCTTGCTGTCATAGATATCTGCCTGCTTCTGCCTCACAAGTGCTGGGATTAAAGACTAACAGTTGATGTTTGAGTACAGGCTATGAAAGTAAGAATGGCTTGAACCATCCTACAAGTCATGAAAAACACAGATACCAGTCCAGGCTATGAAACACAACAATTAGTTGTAATTGAAAGAGAAAATAAAATTTTC